ACACGGCGCTGCTTGCATCCTGGCTATAAGTCATGCCTACAATTCTAAGTGAACCAGAGGGCAAGCTGGCGAGTGATTCCTGCGCCAAAGCCCTGTGCGCGCTCCGCGGTCGCCGGGGGAGGCAGCAACAGGTGCGCCTCCTCCGCCGCCGGGAGCCAATCACTCACCCAATTTGGCGTCTTTTGTCAGCTTCTCCACCACCTCGTACTGCAAGGAAGACAAACAGAAATGGGCTCTAGCATCATGTCTTTATACAAATACATACACATCTATCTATCTATAGATAAATAAATACACATACACAATATATATATCTATATCTATCTATCTATCTATCTATCTATTTATATCTATGTCTGTATATATATATACAAGTATATATCTATATATATATAAATATATATATGTATATATGTATATATATATATATATATTATATATAATATAGATAAATAAATAAAATAAATAATAAATATATATATATATATATATACATATAGATATAATAGATAAATAAATAAATAAATATATAAACATATAAAACATACATATACATATCTATCTATATAACTCTACTCATATACATATATATATGTATATGTACTATTATATATATATATAATATATATATAATATCTATATATATATATCTATATATCTCTACATATAAAAGTTTGTGTGTATCTCTCTCTCTCTCTCTCTCACACACACACACACACACACACACACACACACACACACACACACACACACACACACACACACGCACACACACACACGCAACACACACACACGCACACAACACACACACACACACACCGCCTCCCATCGCCTCCTCCCGCGCGAGCGAGCGAGACAAGCGTCCCAAAAAAACCCTCCCGAGGGAACCGTCCGCCCCGCCGCCGCCGTAACAGCGGGATGCAAAACAGACAAGATTTCTCCCGGTTCGTGTTGCACTGCTGCAAACCGCGGACCACGAGAGACGGGGGGGAATTTGGAGCGACGCGCCCACGCTCTTCAGGGCGGGGCTGGCGCTGAGGGAGAGGGGGGGGGGGGAGGAGAGGGGCGCAGAGGGAGAGGGACGGAGAGGGAGAGGGGGAGGAGGGGGGAGGGAGAGGGACGGAGAGGGAGAGAGGCGAGGAGGGATAGAGGGTGAGAAAGAAAGAGAAAGAGGGGAAAAGTGAGAAAGGGAGAGAGAAGAAAAGGGGGAAAGGGGGAGAGAGGGAGAAAAGGGGAGGGAAGGAGGAAGGAGGAGAGAAGGAGAGAGAGAGGCAGTGGTAGGGGAAGAGGGAGAGGGAGAAGGAGTGGGAGAGGGAGAGGAAATGGGAGGGGGAAATGGAGAGGTAGAAGAAAGTGAAAAAAGAAAAGGAGAGAGGAGGAGGGGTAGGATGGACGATAGGGAGTGGGAGAAGGGAAACCCGAAGAGGGAGAGAAAGAAGGACAAGGACAGGGAGAGGGAGAGGGATGAGAGGGGACAGAGAGGGATAGGGAAAGAGATGGGGTAGGGAGAAGGAGGAGAGGGGAGGAAGGAAGGGAGGGAGAATGAGAAGGAGGGAGGAGGGACAGAGAGGAAAAAAAAACTGAGAATAGGAGAGAGAGAAACTGAGAGAGAAGAAAAAAATAAGAAAGAGGAAGAAGAAAAGAAAGAATGAACCGAAACAGAATAAGAAAAAGAAGAAAGAGAGAACGAGTGGAAGAAGAGAGCAAACGAAAATGATAGAAAAAGAGAAAAGTACACATAGAAAAAAAAATAAGGAAGAAAACAAACAAAACAAAGACACAGACAAGAATACAGACGAACATGCAAAACCAACCAATAAACAATAACAAAGCAGTAAACAGACAACCCCCCCCCAGCCACCCCCAGCGTACTCGCTTATGCAGAAGGGTTCCGGGCCCTATAGCCACACGCCAATCATGCGCTCGGGCGGATAGGGGAGGGAGAGGGAGGGAGAGGGAAAGGGAGGGAGAGGGAGGGAGAAGGGAGAAAGGAAGGGAGAGGGTGGGAGAGAGAGGAAGAAAAAAGGAGGGAGAGGGAGAAATAGGGAAAGGGAGGGAGAGAGGGGAAAAAGAGGGAGAGGGTGGGAGAAATAGGGAGAGGGAGAAAGAGGGAAAAATAGTGAGAGGGAGGGAGAGGAGAATAGTGAGAGGGAGGGAGAGGGGAGAAATAGGGAGAGGGTGGGAGAGAGAGGGAGAAATAGGGAGAATAGGAGAGGGAGAAATAGAGAGAGGGAGGGAGAGGTGGGAGAGAGAGAGGGAGAAATAGGGAGAGGGAGGAAGAGGGAGAATAGGGAGGGAGGGAGAGGGAGAAATAGGGAGAGGGAGGGAGAGGGTGGGAGAGAAAGAGGTGTGAAAGAGTGGGGTGAGGAGAGGAAGAGAAAGGGGAGGGGGAAGGAAGGAGTGAAGGGGAAAAGAAAAGGGGGTGGGAAAGGGGAGGGACAAAGATGGGAGAAAAAGGGAGGAGTATGGACAGGGGCAAAGAGTGGAAAGTAAAGGAGGGTCGTTGGAGGAGAGAGAAGGGGAGGGACAAAGAGGGAAGAGAAAGGAAGGAGAAAAAATAATAATTCAGAGCAGTTTACATGTCCTGTAAAAAGCCATGGAAAGATGTCCAAGTATCTACCCAATCTGGTTGAACTTCTATTGACTTATTTGTTAACTATATAACTGAAAACCCCCTACATATAAATTATTAAAAAAAAAAATAACAATCCTTAAATCTCAATGTTCCACTGTGGTACACGCAAAGTCACTGCGGGCCATCAGTCGTCAGCTGATTTTCAAATTCTGCTACAGGTTGTAAACAGGTGAACCGTTGTCCAAAGAGCACTGTAAACATTTTATCTTGGAATTGTAGTTGCTGAGCAAATTGTTGCTGCATCACGAGCATCATTTGTTCTATCTTCATCAACATTTGCGGTAGGTCCTGTCTTCCCTGCGGTGTGGGGGTCGGCGCCGGCACTGAAGCAGGTGCAGAAGTCGGAACTGCTGTTTGTGCTGAAACATGTGCTGTTGAGGTCGAAAGCGATGTCGATGTCGAAGTAGGTTCTAAAGTCGACGCCGAAGCAGCAGGAGCTGAAACTGGCACTGAAGGGGCTGAAGCAGACCTTGAGGCTGGCGCTGGAACATTCATCCTCCCAAGCTGGGGGAATTCCGCCTCATCCTTCAGACGAGGAAATGGGATGGCGTTGCGAGGGGACAGAACAGCCTGCTGCTTCTTCAGCAATTTGTTTTTTTCTATCGTTCGAATAACATGCACATAATGGAGAGTTTGCATTATGGTCAAGTCTGCCATTGACACATTTTCTGGGGAGTTGATTACCCTGTGCGTTTTTTTCGGCCGCGCAGTACCGACAACACGGCTACTAACGGGGACATGCGCGTGCCCCGTGCCCCATCGGGAACAGTTGGCGCAAAATGGGGTGAGTGATTTGAAGACAGCCCACCTGAGAGTGCCATGCCCTCCACAAATTTTTGATGATTTGGTGATTTTCTCCTCTTCATACGTGATGGTGAGTCGTTGTGTCATCCTAATATCAAATTTAATACAGAGTGTGATCTCACTGGTGTCAGTATCCGTCGGGACATCGAACACGACGAGGTTGGCACGGCGTCCTTTGCCACGAGTTACGACTTTGAGTTGCACGGCGTCTGTCTTCTTAACAATATGTCGAGGTTGGCACGGCGTCCTTTGCCACGGGCGCTGCTCATGTCGAGGATTTCTCCCGTCGTAGTTACAGGGAACGGATGTCTTCATTCCTACACCACACGTAGATATTATTTTCGACCTAGCTTTAATTCCTGGGCTCCTTTAGTCTTGTTAAAAAGGGACATCTTCAGTATTTGAGACTTGAGAGAGAGGGAGAGAGAGAGAGAGAGAGGGAGAGAGAGAGAGAGAGAGAGGAGAGAGAGAGAGAGAGAGAGAGAGAGGGAGAGAGAGAGAGAGAGAGAGGAGAGAGAGAGAGAGAGGAGAGCGAGAGAGAGAGAGGGGAGAGAGAGAGAGAGAGGAGGAAGAGGAGAGAGAGGGAGGAGAGAGAGAGAGAGAGAGAGAGAGAGAGAGAGAGAGAGGGAGAGAGGAGAGAAGAGAGAGGGGAGAAGAGAGAGAGAGAGGAGGAGAGAGAGCAGAGAGAAGAGAGAGAGAGAGAGAGAGAGAGAGAGAGAGAGAGGGAGAGAGAGAGAGAGGGAGAGAGAGAGAGAGAGGGAGAGAGAGAGAGAGAGGAGAGAGCGAGAGAGAGAGAGAGAGGAGAGAGAGAGAGGAGAGATGAGAGAAGAGAGAGAGAGAGAGAGAGAGAGAGAGAGAGAGAGAGAGAGAGAGAGAGAGAGAGAGAGAGAGGGAGAGTAGAGAGAGCGAGAGAGGAGAGAGAGGGCAGGGAAAGAGAGAGAGGGAGGGGAAAAGCGGAGAGAGGGAGGAGAAAGCGAGAGAGGGAGGGAAAGAGAGGAGGGAATCCTTAGATTACAGGGAAAGAGAGAAGAGGGAGGGAAAGAGAGAGAGGGAGGGAAAAGAGAGAGAGGGAGGGAAAAGAGAGAGAGGAGGGAGAGAGGAGGAAGGGGGGGGGGAGGGGGATGGCGGGGGAGGGAAGGGGGAGGCAGGGGAGGGGGGAAGGGGGAGGAGGGAGAGAGAGAGATGAGAGGNGGAGAAGAAAAGAGAGAGAGGGAGAGAAAAGACGAGAAGGGGAGAAAGAAAAAGAGAGAGGAGAGAGAGGAGAGGGAGAAAAGAAGAGAGAGAGAGAAAAGAGAGAGAGGAGAGAAAAAGAGAGAGAGGAGAGAGAGAGGGAAGAAAGAGAGGAGGGAGAGAGGAGAGAGAGGAGAGAAAGAGAGAGAGAGAGAAAAGGAGAGAGAGAGAGGAAGAGAGAAAGGAAAGAAAGAAAGAAAAGGGAAAAAGATGAAGGAGAAGAAAGAAAAGGAAAGGAAAGAAAGAAGCAAAAGAAAGAAAGAAAGGAAAGAAAGAAAGCAAAGAAAGGAGAGAGAGAGAGAGCAGAGAGAGGAGAGAGAGAGAGAGAGAGAGAGAAGAGAGAGAAGAGAGGAGGAGAGAGAGAAAGAAGAGAGAGAGAGAGAGAGAGAGAGAGAGAGGAGAGAGAGAGAGAAGAGAGAGAGAGAGGAGAAGAAAAGAGAGAAAGAGATGGCCGGATCTTGTTGGGGGAAAAAAGCCTTGTCCCTGCGGTCAGTCACCGCGCGCCGCTTGTCGAACCGAGGGACGGTATTTG